AAAAAAAAAAAAAATCACTGCCATCCAAACCAACGTACGCCAGAATGACCGCAAAGGAAACGTGTCTGAAGACGGCGCCGATGGCGGAGGACAGGCGGCCGAGTCCGGAAGCAGAGAGTCTGTCGGGGTGAGTTCAGGTGCTATAGGTTCCCCCACTTCTCAGGGTCAGGAAGCTGTTCTACTCTGCCGCTCTCGCTGTGCTGCTGCTCGCCCATGGAGAACGATAGTCTGTACTGCAGCTGGACTTTCTCCTGAAGCACACGGGAAAACAAAAACAACAAAGAAAAGAGAGGAAAATCTTTCACAGACGGATACAAGAATCCAGCTAAGTATGTTTATTTAAAAAAACAAAAAGAAAAGTTACATCAGCTGCAAAAAATGTAGGTTTATCAAGAGGTCCAATGTGCTTAAGATAAATTTATTTCTGCTGTGAATTTTGCCAATATTTCAGATGAATATTTTTGATGCCAGTTGGACCCATAAAAATCAGATTTGCTGATAATTTTTCAAGATGGTTGCCATGGAAAATACATTTTTACACTAAAATTGCCAATTTAGTGCAAATATTTGGTGTCAAATCATAGCATGTATGTCTTGAGCCATAGAAATCAGATTTTCTTCATCCCCTGTTTGCTTTTTTGTGGTGGACATATTTCAAAATGGCTGCCGGGGTTGTGATGAAGAATATGTGTTTGGACTAAAATCAGTGGTAGTTAATGCCACAGCTAACTCCACTAATGCTAACCGTCTGTCTCACATCTTCATCAACTGGAGTGAAATTGTAAACAGCAAAAGTCCTCAGTCTCTAATTTTGCTCCATATTCTTACTTCATAGGACGACCAAATATATGATGTGACATAAAGTCCATCCAGGTCATGAAAACGTGTAACATCTCGTGGTAATAGCTGCTTCAAAAGACTCAAAAACGGCGGCCATGTTGAAAAATGGAAACATGAAAAACATAGGACAAAGTTTCTTGCTTGCACTATATTACTGTTAGTGTAGAACACCAATTAAAATAACATTTAAGAGGAACATTAAAGCCTGTACTAGTAGCTACCTTGTTAGGGTTGGCTAGCAGCAGGATCTGCGTGATGGCAGCAGGGGGCAGGATGGGGTTAAAAGCTGGGAGCTCTGACCCCGATGGAGGCTGCAGCTTCACCCCCACAGACTGCAGATAAAAACACAAAAACATCAGCAAGCTTTAACCCAGATGTGTTCGCATTAGACATGAACCGGTATGAATAGACGACCTTTGGTAAAAACACCAGCTTCATTTTATTATTACAGCTCCAAAATGTGTCGTGCAGAAAAACTGCAATCGTTGCAAACAGAACCGCAGGAAGGGCAGGACAGAAACCTCACACACCTTCAACTGTTCCCCACATCGTCACACTACAACCACAAACCGTCCACAGCCTCCGTTAACTGCTACCGTTACTCTGTTACCCCTAAATAAAACCGTGTGCAACCACTTCCCTTAATCTAGTGAGTCTAAAAGTCAGAATCTGAGGAGGAGACACAGAGTTCATAGGTCATCGCTGCTGACCTTTGGGGCTGTAGCTTCAAAGTGAATGTTGGTGGCGGGAATAGGGGCGGAGGACAACATGGAGATGATCACCACCAGCACGTCGGGGCGGGACGGAGGCGAGTCGCGGGCGAAGTGAAAGAGAACCCGCAGGCTGTGTCCGTCAAACACGGTTATGGGTAAGAGGCTACCTGGAGGAGGAGCGGTCAGGAAAACGCTAAATCATTAAAGTTTGAAAAACAACCATACATGTGCAAAAAACGGTGATTTCTCTGCACTTACTGGGCTTAATGGATTCTAGAGGTACAAAAACATCGGCCAGGGAGACTTCTGCTGCGTGAGCCGGGGATTTGTCCAGCAGCGTTCCTCCCAGGCTGGAGGCGGAGGGGTCGGCCGCTAAGGCTACGGCAGCAGGAGCGCTAGTGTTGATTCCCGACTTGGACTGGAGATCCCTCAGAGTCGGCTTGGACTGCTGCTTGTCCCTTGGAGAAGAAAGACGAGCAGCACAAACACATTTTAACCACCATTACCTACAATGAAGAAAACACTTCTCTGTTTATAAGACCAGAGGAATGTTTCCACCTTGGCGACAAGATGAAGGTTAAGCTGGTCCTGGTCAGTGTCCACTTTGAGATGCATCACTGATCATTATGAAGCTACAGCTAGCATAAACAGATTGCTGTGAGCAACTATTAGCTCATAGGAGGGTCACTGCGAGTTTTCACCAACTCAAATTTAAGACTTTTTAAGATCATTATGAACAGAATTTATGTCACCACAGAAACGTGTGAACGTCGTCCAGCCAACTGGTCAAAACTTTGCATTCACTCATGATAGACGCAAAACAGCTAGCCGAGGTACATTAGCAGCTATTTAGCGGTAGCCTCAGCTGCTTTGAGTCACAGAACACAATGAAGACTCAAACATTTACCTGACAGAAAAGTCCAGCAAGGAAAAAAAACCCAAAACAAAACACAGAATATACAAGATGAAATTGTCCTGTCACGATAAAATACAAGACCCATCAACTTATTATATTCCTACTCTCTGTTTCTAATGAATTTAAGACATTTCAAGGCCCTTAATTCACATCTTCTGTGTCTTCAAGGCCACGTTAAAATGACTGCAAACAGACGCGCAATTATACAACCGTACATCTTTGAAAAGCAGAAGTACAGCCTCCTGCACAATCAACAAGAGGTAGTGAGAATGTTGAATAATTTGTCCCCTCTGAACCTTTTTAAGGCTTAACCCGGTCAGAGTTGTGGTCTGTAGCTTATTTTCACAAAAGACACAGAAGATGTGAACCGTTTCCAAAACTCCCGTCCCAAAGCTGGAGTCTGAGTCGAGCCATGCAGTGTGTGTGTGGGTGTGAGAGGCGTACCATTTGACCTGCAGACCCTCGGGAGGCAGCGACTGCTGCAGCAGCGTCTTCCCCAGCAGGTCCAGCTCATCCAGGGACGACAGAGGCTGGGAGTGAGACGGAGGGTCAGGACTCAGCAGGAGATGAGGAGCTGCTTGGACATCCGCGTCGATGCTGTCGGAGGACTGGAAGGAGAAAGAAGAACAAAATAAGTTTTCATTAGATTCTTGCACCTGGAGCAGCAGATTGTGAAGCTCTGCGACGTTTTCCCACGGCTCACCTGGAAGGAGTCCCAGGCTGTGGAGTCGTCCGGTTGTGACGGGTTGGAGGTGTGCGTCCCTTCACTCAAACCTTCAGAAAAGAGACGGAGCTTAGAAGACGTTTCAAGTTAGCTGCGTTTTCACAAAACGTAAAATTGCGCAACTTGAAGTTACGAAAAAAAAAATTCCTTAATGGGAACGTGCCAATTAAAAAAAAAGAAAAAAAAGAAAAATTTTCAGTAATTTTTTTGCGCTTGTGTATAATAGATGTATTTCACAGAACTGCAATGGAAACATTTTTTCACATCACACCAGTCACATGATCAACAACCAGATGTTACTACTGGAGGAAATGACAAAAAAAGATGACAGGAAGCGTTCACATTCGAGTGGGAAAATGGGAACGTTACCGAGTGACATGAGCTCATCGTCCAGCAGGCTGATCCCCGTCTCCTGTGAGGGAGCCTGGAGGCCGTCGGTGGGAGTGGGGAACTCTGGGAAGGAAGGAGGCGACTGGGGCGACGTGTCCAACCCGGACAGATCCAGCAGAGCCGTCCCTGAATCAGTGGGCGGCATGTTAGTCAGCTTACACCAAAAGACAAGCATTTTACTTTGGTTCCGTCTCGGCTGCTGACCCACCGGCGGGTTTCTGTGTGTTTAGTGTGTTGTTTCCGTTCACAATCTCGCCCTTCACCTGCTGCTTGTACAGGTTGATGACGTGAGTCAGGCTGTCGTTGGCCTGCAGGATCTCGGCTGCGCAGAAAAAATCAGAGTGAGGAGTGACGGTTTTCATGCCACCAAGATGGACGCCTCTCATCCAGGAGAAGGCGTGCGGCTCACCTAGCGCTTCGTCGTTGTCTTCCGTGTCGCTCGCTAGCCGGAACAGCGTCGGCCTCATCTTCTCGCAGCGCTGGTACAAATCCTGACGGCGAAGACGGGATGGACTCAGACGGGTTTCATGTTCAGGGTTCGTTCACTTTTCCCTCAGTGAAATTCAAACACTTTTCAAGCATTTTTTAAAGTAAATATTCAAACGTTTCCAGAATCACTTTGGATATGAAAACAATACAAACGAGCCAAAGAAGACGGTTTCAATATCTCATTACTGTTATTAATGTCTTGTGATAGTATTCTGGATTACACAGGCAGGAGAAGGTCAATTAAAATAGAACAAAATGTTATGTTTTGAAATATCTCTCTAAAAGCACACACCCTGCCAGTCCAAGAACAAAACACTAATGAAAAAATAATAATAATTCACCCAATTTCAATCAATTTGGTTAAAGTATAGCTCAACAGGTCATTGAGCCTTTAGGAATAGTAAATATTTATTACTTTGAAACCAAATTCAAACAAATCGCGTTAATGTAAATGGCATTTCTGCTCAAATTAAATGTTTAAACACAATATAAAAAAGGAAAAAAAAAACATTCTGGGTATTTTCTAGCGTTTAGCAAATAGAAACAAGAAAAGTTTCGTCTGATTTAACTAAGAAATGTAGCCGTGTTTCTTAGGTGTATGTAAATATCTGGATTTGTGTTTGTTATGATGTAAAGCTCTTTGAAATGCCCTGCTGCTGAAATGTGCTTTACAAATAAAATTTGATTGATTGATTGATTTAACTGTATCTGATTGCACCGTTTTACAAAACTGTGCAGTTTGGATATCAAAGCACTTTGTACAGAAATCAAGTATTTCCAAAACCTTGAAAACACCTGATGGAAATTCAAGCATTGGCAAGGATTTTTAATCACCAGCACAAACCCTGCATATTGATAATCAATCTCACTGTGTGGCTGATAGATTATCACTCACACAGTGAGTAGTAATCACTGTGTGATCTTGTTTGGTTCACCTGTATCAGGTCGCCGTTGCCCTGGCCGGTCGCCGTGCCGTCGTAGTCCTGCAGCAGCTGAGTCAGCAGAGCGACGCTCTCCTTCACTTCCTGTATGGCGTTGACGCGTTTCGACACTTTCTCCGCTCGCCGCTGATCCTGAGCAGACAGTCGGGACATCGGTTTGCCCAAAAGTATTCATACAGGCTCTGAAGGGCATCCTCACTAATATGTGGTTGGGGTTTTCGCCGCAGACTGTGTTTTCTTTGCAGGCAGCAGAGGAAAAACCCCCAAAACAAAACAAAAAACGTTCTGAAGCTCCAGGGATAATTCTGACTGCTCCTCCTCTAGCCAGAACTCATTTCACTGTCTGGCTTCCTGGAACAGAAGTGTAGTGTTTACCTTCTACATTTGCAAAACCTGTTTTGCTGTGTGCTCCTTTTGAGGAATTCGATCGACAGCAGCTTAAATTTAAGACTCTAGTAAAATATAAATACAAGGGATGGCTGGGGGGGATTTGCTCCATGTCAACAAAACGTAGGAAAAAAACTTTGTGTCCATGATAAAGACAGAAAAGCTAGCTAGCAACGGTTTACTAGCTGCTAGTTAGCGGTAGCTTCAACCGTCTTGAGTCGCGGAAAGCAAAGATGTTTGTGTCTGACTCAAACTTTTGCCTGACAGAAAATTTGTGCAAAACAACATTAACTAGTCCTGGCAGAGAGCAACTTAACCAGCAACATCTGTTTAAACAAATTTAAGACTTTTTAAGGATGCGTGGACATCCTGGTTGAAGTCGTCCGTCTTCGTTATTCCATCCACTTTGTACAACACACCAGAACCACTGGAGCATAAACACACCCTCAGCATGATGCTACCGCCACCATGCTTCACAGTTAGAGCAGCATTCCTCCGTTTGAAAGCCTCTTGGAGAAAATAAACCAGTTTAAATAAATCCAAGAATTACGCCGGAGCGCTGTGTGGGTTCTCTTCAACTTGCTGAAGAACACACATCACACAGATGCACATTTCTGCCTGTATTTATACTTTTGATACTGTAAACAGTAGAGAAAATTTGCATTAGATTCACACTTTGTGCATCTAATTCTTGCTGGTAAAATTCAACGTTGGAACTTTCAAATTAAGGAAAGAAAGATTAAAAAGCAGCGTTTAGAAGCTTTAAAACTCAAAATAAAAAAATTATAAGAAATGCAGAAATAAAACAGAAGGTTTACCTCTTGGACCATTTCCTTAATGAGTTTGTTAGCAGCTTTCAGGTCTTCAGGGTGTGAGCTATTTAGCAGGCGGGACAACATCTATTAAAGCAAACAGCAGTGAAAAGAAAAATGTTATTAACCAGAGCAGAAACACAAACAATGACGGCAAAGGGAACGTTTAAACAGGCAGCAGGAAACCGACTGAAAATGGCTTTTCACCGCGTCAAATCATTAATTTCGATAAGTGTTACACAAGGCTCTTACTTTTGACTTCTCCTCATCCTCAAAAATGGTGTTTTTAGGTCTGCGTGGAGGAAGGTGCAGCAGCTTGTCTGGGGGAAGCTCTGGGTCTTGTTTAATGATACCTGATTTACAGACACAGTAAAAAAAATAAATAAAAAAAAGAATCTAATTTTATACTCTACCAAAATTTTTTAAAAATACTTTACAAGAAAAGTTTAAATAAAAAAAAGTAGCATTTGCTAGCAGCCTCTTACCTTGTTTCTTTAGCATCTGATAAGCATCTGAGATCTTGGGCTCATCAGGCAACGCCAGCGTCCAGCTGTAGATCAGCTCCAAAACTTTCTTTTTTGCTGCCTCTGGAGAGCGAGAGCCTAAATACTGAGCGTCAGAACAAAACGCCGTGTTTGTCAGTTCACCCGTTATAAAATAAAAGGCTACGCGTCAAGTCTGACAGACTGTCGGTACCTTTGGTGAAACTACTTTGATGAGCTCGTTGAGAAATCGGAACTTGCCCACTTCGCTGTGAAACCTTTTCCCGCAGTTTCTCATGCACGTCTCCAGGACCTGGAGTTGAAACGGTAAACACAGGCAATGAAAGACGGCAGCTGGGAGGAAGGAAATGTTTGGTTAATGTAAAGGCAGCTCATTCTGAGCGGGTGTTAGCTCACCAACAGCGCCTGCATGGCCTCCCACTCTTGAGGAGACTGGATTTTGTGGGCCAGGAGCCTGGTGGCCAGCTGAGGTCTGGAACGGGATCAATTTCTCAAGGTGAGAAGACATTTCTTTATAAAAAAAAAAAAAAAACAACCTAAAAAAAGTCAGTCTGGGGATTGTAGAATAGCTCAAAGGGCATCGAGTCTCCTCTTACCCCTCCAGGTCGTTGTTGAGCTGGTCACAGAAGGCATTGATGCTGCTCCAGTCTGTGTCTCTGTTAAGTGGATTTGTGGCTCTGTCTGAAATGTCAGCAAACAAAGCAAGGCCAGACAGTAAGTTGAACAAAAATGCATCTCATAAAATTAGTTTGAAAACATATACATGGGGATGTACTTGTAGACAAATGTCATTTTTTTCTGAGATACCATCTATCAAATATATTTTTTTACATAAGCACCGTTGCAAATTAAAAAAAAAAATCATATCAACCGCCAAGAAAACAGAAAAAAAGTTGAATAACTATTTAAGAATGACATAAAAGATGCATAGACGAGATTAGGTTTGCTAATAATATAGTATTCAAAAACCTGTTATAATTTAGTCATTTAAACCTTGTCATCAAATGTTTTTTCCAATGAAAATATGCGCAATTATTCAGCTCAAAAAGGCACGCGACCAGCTGTTCGACTTCACAATTTAAAGAGGAACAAACCTGCCAGTGTCACCTGAGTGAACCTCAGGTGCTAACAGTGTCACTGTAGCTAGCTTTCAGTTGGCATTTGTAGTCTTTTCTCGATTTTTCTCACGAGATGAAATCACTGTCATTTTATAACCGGCGTGATTTTAAAAAAGGCTGCCCGGGTGATTCTGACACACACAGCCCGGTAGCAGGTGTCCGCCGGGGAGCTAAAGCTACCCTGACTGTGGTCGGTGGTGTTGACAGCTGGCAGGTACAGCAGCTCCGCAGCTAGGTTAGCATCCTGGAGGTGGCGGCGGGCTTTGAGCCCCTGCTGCTGCGCCCGGTGAGCCTGCAGTGAGCCGCTATTTCACCCACAGCTCGTGGATAATGACTAGTTCATGTCCGGAGCAACAGACAACGCCGACTCTGAGGGGTACGTTTGAAAGACTTACTGATATGAGACTCCAGACTCTCCGTATCGGGCGGCGCAGCCATCACTGCGAGATTTATGTACGTAAGGGCACGTAAAGCGAGGCGGAAGCTGCGTAAAAGAGGAGTGGACAGACAAAACACGTTTAGTTGCGTTACGTGGGGTTACGTAATGCCTTAAACTCGTATTTCTTTACTACAAGTTGGTAATGCTATTATTACTAAGTGTAACTTGTTACACTTAGTAATAAATGTAAGGTCTGAAACAAAACACATTTGTTTAAGAGGTGTTTTAATCGATAAAAGGAAAATGAAAACAAACAAAAAAAAAACGTTAACGTTGCAATTAAATCTAATGTTTAATTTTTTTTTCAGGTTTAAAATATGTATACATATATAACTGGAATACATGCATTTCTGTTTATACGATAATAAACATATAAGTATTTTCTGTATAATATGAGCCAGCTCCAGTCCAGTAATGATGGTGTAATTATAGGTTCTGCGCTCCATAGTTTAACAGTAAACTATATTTACCATCAAATATGTCATTTCACAACTTTCAGGATAATAATAGAAGGTTGCAAGGCAGTCTTTAATAGTAAATACTGTTTTCAAAAAAGTAGGGTTTTTTTTTTGGAGAAAATCAAATATATGGCAAAACCTTTTTAAAAAGAAAATTAAAATCCACACGGAAGTCACGGTCAAGCATTGTTTTATATATACAACTTGTAATAAGTACAAATAACATACCAAAGCAACATTTAGTCTATTTTCTTGACTTTATTTGAGTGGAAAAATGCAAGAAATATTCCCTTTTTTTTAGCAGAAACAAGGAAGCTGATAAAAAAAAAACATCGGAAAAGAATAAAGAACGTCATCATACAAAGATATAAAAAAACACATTTGGTTTCATAATGGGAAAGAAAGAAGATTTAATCGTGAGTTAGAAAGCATGTGCTTTGAACTGCTGACATTAATCTCGTAACTAGAGACCTTTCCCTCCTAATTATAGAAAAAGAGCGGCTCTACGTCTCCCTCTAGCGGCGGCGTGCTGTGGGCTGTGGAGCACAACAAGGAGGAGCGAGCAAGTTGCTGGGTTTTATTCAAATTAACACCTATTTTATCAGGTCTTTCGGGAGGCTTCGTGGCACTGGACATATTCAGACATTAGTTCTCCCCTCCCTGTTGAACTCTCTTATAGCGGAGAAACCGAGTCCGCAGCTCAGTGAGTGTGAGAAGAACCGTTTCTTTAACTTTGGTCGTGGCTAAAATCTGCGGGGGTGAAAAAAAAAATATCTACGCTCTTTATACGCAGTGTGGATACCTTTAGGTGGTGAAGATGCACATTTAAGTGTGAAGAAATAACTTCCTTCCTGTTGCTTCGTTGGGTCGGCGCATTGTTTGTGCAGTTTGGTGGTTTGGCAGAAGAGCGTGAACGTTTCCTGTTCTCTTCACCAAACCAAACCGTTCTGCCTTTCTTTCTGTTTGATGTTTCACACGTAGAAAGGGAAATGCTTTTCCCGTCCGCAACTGAAAGTCGCGCAAAAACATGGCAGCATCACCGAAGGCTCTGCTTGAGTGGTGCCGCGTCACATGCGCCAGCTACCCCGGTGTGGAAGTGAAGAACATGTCAGCCTCCTTCAGGGATGGGCTGGCGTTTTGTGCCATCATCCACAAACACCGACCCGACCTGATGTAAGTAGACCAGAGGCTTCAGCCCTTCATCTGAAATACTTGTGCTTTTCTTGTCTTTTTCGTTTTCCCCTCCTCACATGGACCTTCAGTTCAAACTGAGCTGAAGAGGACTGGGTCGTTTCGTTTAGAGTGGAGACTATAATCTGCTGGACTAATCCCTCTTCTTAACCTCTCCAGACCCAGACTGAACGGATCATCCGATGTGTTTTCTCACTGTAAAAATCTTAGTACAATTTAAACTTTAGAGAAAAAAATAATAATCTGAAAAGTGTGGCGTATATGTATATTCAGCTCACCTAACAGAATCGTTTGTTTGTTTGTTTGTTGCGGGTACAACATCGAGTCTTGTGCAAAGAATTTATTTATTTATTTTTTGGTTGTAGATAGGCCCGCCAATAAGCAGTAAATCAATTAATTGCATGGTAAATTAAAACATGATCAATAATTTCCATCTGAAATATAATTTTTCACGTTTCTCTCTCTGTTTCAACAACAAACAGGATGACAAAATATGTTTAAAAAAAGTTTTCAGAAACTTCATAATTCATTTTATTTGGAGTTTTGTTTATTTATTTTGGATATTTAAAATGGATATTTAAAATGTCTTCCGATAATAACCAATGTTTGTTTCCATCTTGTTGCTGTTTGTGTTTCAGGAGAGGTTGGCCATATTTGTTCAGGCATGTAATAGTGATGCAGCAAAGGGTTGTGAGCTATTAGTAATACCATGTAAAAACTGTACAGTTACTAGTTTTAACAACAATACTAATATCGGATATCAATATTGGCCCAATTTTTCTTATCAGTGCGTCCGTCCTGTGTGGTAATTATGTGACTTCTGGATGTAATCATGGCGCTGGATCAGTTTACAGGAGGAGCCACCATGAAAACGGAGGCCTGAGTTTTAAAGGTTTTATTTATAAAAACATTTTTAAGATTCCACACAATAAAGCACGGTGAAGGGTGCGATAAAACACAGCCGTAAATGTTCACATTGATACTTTTTAAGAATCAGTAATGTTCCAGACTCCAGTTTAATCTAACGTTTAATCTTTCATTCATAAATTTAGCTTGTTTCAGTTTTATGATACTCCAACCACTTGTGACCTTCTTTTCTCCTGCTTCTGACAGTTTCTAACTTATTATTATTCTTGCTTTGCTCTAGAGACTTCAGCTCTCTGTCCAGGGGAAATGTTTACCAAAACAACAAGCTGGTGAGTCAGTCGCGTCTTTGTTCAAGCCGGCAGGAGTTTCCCGGCCAGCATTGTGTCCGCCGGACCGCGTGTCGGTGAAAACTCCTTCATCCTCTCGACCCTGCAGGCTTTTGAGGTCGCAGAGGCGAAGCTGGGAATCCCTCCTCTGCTGGACCCACAGGACATGGTTTCCACGGACGCGCCTGACTTTCTCACCGTCATCACCTACGTTTCCCAATACTACAACCTCTTCAGCGGCGGAGAATCTCCCGGTGTGTTGCCGCGTTTCTGTGTGATTGTCCTTTGATTTCATGTGCTGCTCTTTGGTTAAGCCGCCCGGTTCGCTTTCAGTTTGTGGACTTCCTGGTACGAACTGCTCACCTCACTTCCTTAGATTTACTCTACTGTCGTCGCACAAAGACACGACGGTGAAATTCTGGACAAAATGCCGTGTAACACTTCTGCTGGCCTTTTGCTAATGAAGAGCTATAACCGTATTCCCTACCTAAAGAAGCTTCAGTAAAACCATTAATGACTGCAGACATATTTTAGTCCAAAAAGTCTAAAACCCTAAAGTCTATTTTAAATTAAAAGTTCACAATGCTGGATGCTCTAGCATCACAGATCCTCCACTTTACTTTAGCACTTTGCTGAAAAGCTCAGGTCAGGCGACTTAAAGATGGCGCCTAATGTTTTGGTCGTCAAGGAGGCACTGTACTCCAGATTTCAAACAGTACTTTAGAGATTTATGTTATCTTTTTGGTTGCAAACATAATTACAGGTCAGAGTCCAGCCTTAAAGGGACAGGCCTCTGTGTCACATCACATTTGTACCCCAGTTTTAAAAGAAATATATTATTTGGACGTTTCTAGAAACTCTTATCAACTTAAAGTTAAATATTAAATTAAAAAAAAAAAATATATATATATATATATATATATATATATATATATGTATGTATATGTATGTATATGTATAAGACGAAAACAAAAAAACACTTTTTCCAATATTAAACTTTACTTAAAAGCATTACTTACAGAAGGTAAAGTGTATATGTTGGAGCGATTTAATCTACTTCCAGTGACAATATGCTGTGTTTCCTGTGTCATATTAATCTTCAAATAGGCTCAAAATAACATTAAAACAGCAGAGCTGGTTAATAAACAAGAGGTCTGCAGGTGTGTGTCTGCGTCTCATACGTTTCTTTTCTAAAATATATTTACTTTTTCTTGACTTGTATCGAATATCCAGGACTTTTACTCGTAGTTTATCATCATATTACTCCAGTAAAAGTACAAAGTACAGCGTAGCTAAGCTACTTCTGAACCTACTTGAGTAAGAAGTTACTCTAGTAAATGTAACTATTTGCTGCCCACCTGTGCTTAACAAAGAGCTGTTTTCATCTAGCTAGCGACGCTAGCAGAGCTGCCAGCATGTGTGCAGCAGGATTTAAACAAAAATAAGCAGCGTTTTGAAAAGTGTTGTTTTCAAAGCAACAACCTACAAAGCGACCTTGAGTTTTGTTTTTTGTTTTTTTAAATCAACTGTAATACATTTACGTTTTCATTTCTCCAACTGTCCTTGTTGACTTCAGGTCCCTGCAGGTTGTGGTCGTCGCAGGTCTTGAATGTCACGAAGGTGCAAAAAACTCTGAGAAGCCAGAAGGTACGGCGGCTCCTCGCTTCTCTCTCTCTCTCTCTCTTTCTCTCTCTCTCTTTTTCTCTCGCTCTCTGTCTCTCTCTCTCTCTCTGTCGCTCGCCTCGCGTCCGACTGCCTGGTTTCTCTTCTGCTTTCAGAGCCTGACTGAACTGGAAACCAGTAAAGAGGACGGTCATGCCGGCCCGAGGCCCAGGGCGCTGTGTTCCCTCTGCTCCAAGCCGGTTCACCTCATACAGAAGCGTCTGAGCGACGGGAAGGTTTACCACCGCGGCTGCTTCAGGTGAGAGACGCTCATCTCTCCTGGTTGGAACAAACTCGACGTTTGTCTCTAATGCGCTTCAGTTCACCTCTGGTGACATTTGACCTCCACACCTGGCTGTGATTAGGCAGTGCCTTTTTGAAGTGTCCAAACCTCTTGATGCGTTTTGTGTTTTATCTGCCAAGTTCTTTGGGATTTTTTTTTTCTTTTCTTTTTTTTTGGCGGGGGGGGGGAATTCCTTTTTATTAAGCAGTTAGAAAAAATCATCTGGAGAGACTGAAGTTCTTTTTCTCATTCTTTTATTGCAAAGTAGATCAAGA